TGCTGTTCTCACCGAATCAGCCCATGCAAAGACAGTGTTCAACTGAGCGAAATGAGGAATGGCTAAAATGCATGATCTGTTTGGTATTTTGAAAAATAAAAAGTATAAATATGATTTTTTGTTTTTTTTTTATTTTGATATACTTTATTAATCCCTGTGGGGAAATTGTTTCTCTGCATTTGACCCATCCTAGTGTTAGGAGCAGTGGGCTGCCATTATGTACGGCGCCCGGGGAGCAGTGTAGGGAACGGTGCCTTGCTCAGGGACACCTCGGTAGCACTTGGTCTTGCGGTATGGTCCTACACTATATTATTCAAATATAGCATGATAGGTCTACTTTAAGTATGCACGATCTTAAGACCTTAACAATGTGAGTTTTCATAATAGACTACATGGTTTTTATTAAACAAAAATGCAATTTTGTGGCAACTTTTTCGCGCAATTTGCAAGAAACAGGAAGTTGTTGTAGCTCCAATGAACATTATCCAAGCAGCCCAACATTTGACATGCTTTAATATCTCATTTTAATTACGATAACAACACTGTTAATGTTGCAGCCGCTCAAGGTGGAGATCATTTTAACTACCATACTCTTTATACATTACTATCTTGGCTTTTTGGTTTAAAACTTTCATCTGAAAAGTAACTAAAAACAATTCCAGATAAATGTAATAACATTTATTTTATGATAGACGTATAAAGTAGCCGGAAAGTTTAGTACTTCAATCAACGTCTATTGATCATTAAAATGGTAAGAAAGCCTTGAGATATTGAGTGTTGCTGTATCACATGTCTATATATTTCATTTAGCTGACACTTTTATCCAAAGCGACTTACAATAAGTGCGTTCGACCAACAAGATACAAACTTGAAGAAAACAGAATCATATAAGTGCATCAGGTTTCATAGAGCCAAAACATTTCAAGTGCTACTCAACTGGCTTTAGATAAACCAGTCCTTTATTAGTATATAAGTGCTCTGTTAATAATTCTTTCGCTCGAATGCTATGGATTATTATTATTATTATTATTATCTATTGAAGTTAAATATATATTTTAGCATATTTTCTGACTACCTGTTGTCTCTGCATCGCCCCCTGCTGGTTGGTCCTCAGACTGCACCTCCTCCTGACCGTCCACCTTCTTCCCCTTTTTCCCCTTCTTCTTTTTCTCCGGTGTCGTTTCAGCTGGACTCACGAGACCTTCCTCCTCCTCCACCACAGTAACCTCGCTCTCCTCCTCTTCAACATCTTTTGTTTTATTCTTTTTCTTTTTCATTTGATTTGCTGAAGGAGTGACGGGAGTTGCCTCCTCCACTGCATCCGGCTCCATTTTCCTTTTCCTACCCTTCTTCTTCGATGGAGTGGCCTGAGGCATTTCCTCTTCCTCCTCCTCTTCTTCCTTCTTCTCCTCTTCCTCTTCCTTCTTCTCCTCTTCCTCGGCCTCAGGTACCTTTTTGTTTCTCTTTCTCTTCTTGGCGCTCAGAGCTGTATCTGGTGTGGATGCGTCTGGGCTCAGTGTTTCCTCCGTCGGCGTGTCTGCATCGGTTTTGCTCTTCCTTTTCTTCCTCTTCTTCGGAGTAACAGCCTCCTCGTCCTCTGTGAGGATGATGAAGACTTCTGGTTCTACTTGCTCCTCCATAGTTGCTTTTTCTGAAGAACAAATGAACAATTCAAGATCTCCTTCTCTGCTTCTGAGAACACAGCATGCATTAATAACACAAATGAAGCAGCAACAACATTATCATGTCCAACAACGCAGAAATAGGAAGTGTTAAAACAAGATGACACAATGCTTGTTTTCGTAAATTAAGAAAACACACAGGTGCCAATATGACCTCTCGATCAGTACACCGTGCTTTAGTCAACAAATGCTTTCGGTTTCTTGACTTGAAAACAATAGAAAATAGTATATTAACTCCTAGTGGATACAGACATTAAGGAGATAAATATAAATTACCATAAGTCAATAAATCTGCAAGTTATTCATAAAGTAAAAGAGAGAATAGTGTGTTTAGGTGACCTTTCAACCTTTATTTACCCGCCGTTAAAAGTTTAAGATTCAAACGTTTGCTTTGGTTGAAATAAATCTCTTTCAAAAGTTGGTTTCCCACTTTATGTTTTGGATACGATAAAAGCATCCTGTATTCGACGTGTTACCGGCTTCAGTGTCGGGGTCCTCGGGGGACTTCGTCTGGTCTTCAGCCGTCAGCGGGGATGCAAGGCCACCGTCCTGAAGAAACACAGACAGGAGATTTAACACACTGAGCTGTGTGTGTGTGTGTGTGTGTGTGTCTGATTGCCTCCCTCGGGTGCAGCCTCTCCCTCAGCTGCTCCAAATCACTCATCAGCACCTAAACAAAGGCTGAGGAGCTGCAGCAGTCTCTCTAAATCAAAGCCAGACTATCAAAGTGAGAGGGGAAGCGTTCAGTGTGGAGAAACACAACCCAGCAGTAGCAATTCTGGAATAGCTCAATAAAGGGAAGGCATCTATATTCAATTCAAAACAAGGTTGAAGTTTTATGAGATAGTGGAAAAGGTCAAGTGGTGATGAGCAGGATGAGAACTGGACACGGAAATCTCAATAGTACACTTTTCAAAATAGGAAAAC